AATGGTTAGAGCCCTCTGGGGGCAATGCCAGATTTTATATTTTTAGAATATTAGCTGAGGGCAGGAGATAGAGTTAATTTGTGTGTCAGCAGAGTAAAGGGAGATCCTAAAAAAGATCATGCTTATTTGTAAAGCCAGGAAAAATGTGATCCAAAATACTGCATCGAGAGAAAAGGTAGCATTCGGCTCAAAATAGCCTTTTGCATCAGTCTAAGCATTTATGGTCTTGAAAGGAGAGACGCTGCCTGACCTAAAAAAGGCATGAGTCAAGAGAGTGTCAAATAAGGAGGAACGTGGGTGACTTCTAAGTGCTGCTTTCCTTTAGGCTGCTTGGAGAACTCATCACCTTTACAAAAGAACCATGTGACAATCACCTAACTGTGTAAGTTTAAAGAAATGCGTGCAAGTACCTTGCCAACAGAGAGTGGAAAAGAAGCCACCTTGCCCAAAATGCCTGGGGTTGTCTGGAGGGATATCTATTGGAGCCTGTCCTGCAAGACAAAAGGCCATGCAGAGTCAATGAAACACAGGAAATAAGCCAATGTGATAAGTAACACCAACACCGAGCCTTCATGCTGAAAACAAAGCCGTATCAGGTGGTTTATACCTCCTAAGACCAGAGTCTCTTGATGCTCCTGGTGAGAAGAAAAGAGGATGCTGGGATTGACATCCTTCGTGCAGTAATGTTCCCAGGGTGGGGTTAAGTCAACCACTTTGTCTTGGGGCTGTAGTTCTACATCCAGAGTCACCTGAAATAGTTGAGGATATTTTTCTGGTACATCACATGCATCCAACTCAGGCCTAAATAGGGAAGTAAAAGAATAAGATCAGTGAAAAAACAAAAGGAACCAGTATGATGTTCAGCACAAAACCCACTGGAGGTTGACTCCTGGGTTAACCTGGAGACTCATTTCTAGGGAAAACGCAATCATTAACCAGATAAATTACTTTACTGGTCTGAGCCTCGGTTTCCTCCTCTAGAGAAAAGAGAATAATGCCTACTCAAAGAACTTGGATACTACTGAAGCATCCCAGAAGGCAGGGGTGATACATACAGCCAGTATGCACCAGCATGGCCAAATCAGTTATTAAAAGAGTGAAACAGGCTCAAGGCCACCACTCTGAGCTCTTGAATGCCTATCCCTAACCTGGCCCAGCATCAGCCACCCCGCCGAGTTCTCTAGACTACACTCTAATACAGCAACTAAGGGTGAATGTCTGGCACAGGGGGGTCTCCCAGGACCCTGCTTCAATGCTGTGATCTGAAGGCCTATCCAGTCTGAAGGGCTAGCATTCATATCATACTACTGATGACACTGCCACCCCTGTTGAAAAACACAAAAGGACACACAGATGCAAAGGATCACAGCACTGATATTTTATGCCCTCTCTTGTTCCCCATTGCTCCTTCACTTGGAATTTTAGGCCTTCCTATTTGGAGCCTCTTGAACAATTTGTGGTCAAGACAAATCAAAATGCCAGCCTTGCCCTGACCAGTGGGACTCAGTTGGTTGAGCATCCTCCCATGCACCAA